ATAACAAAAAAGAAATCGTAAATCACTATAAAAGGAAGGATTTGCTCGAAGCACAATTTAAGATAATCTAAAAAGATTTTAACTTGTTTAATCCTTTTCTGATAAAAAGCACTCGTCGTATTAATTTTAAAAAGCACTAGTCGACCTACATCCTGGACTAGAGAAAAAAAAGCCGAATTAACGAGACTTTTCAACAATCGAAATGGGGTCAGTGAGAGAAAAATAGGTTTTAAATTCGTAGTTAATTATTCGAAAATTGGTTGTCAGTTAAAAAAAAAAAGAATATTAAATATAGATAACGTGGAAAGACTTCAAAATACGTAATAGAACAACAATTAAAGCCAAAGGTGGTATAACCCAAAATTGCTTCTGGTCATTGATGACGAAAAATGGTTTTGATTTGCAGAGGACAAAATGCCTGGAATTTATGGATACTACACAAACAGCAAAAAAACATGGTCAAAAAGTGTTCGTTTTATAGGAGAGGGAAATTTCCAAAAACATTAATCATATGGATAGCCATTTCTGATCGTGGTATGTCTGAGCCATTGTTTCGCATTTCCAAGGCTGTAGCAATTAGTTCATCTCTGTAATATTTGCTATTTTCATAACATTTCAATTTTTTGCGTGATTGTTTTTGCGTGATTGTTTTTGACATGTTAATTAGGGTTGTAAATTTTTGAAGACCAGAATGTCCTATTCCAGGAGTTTGTCTTGTATATATTGTTCGTGTGTTTATATTAAAGTTTCTTTTGTTATTGACTAATTTAAAAGTGTAAAAGTCTTTTTGATCTTTACATTTTAAACAAACAATTGAAAGTTCACAAGCAAGTCCTTTTTGCTTTTGTCTTCAATTATTGTAAAAGTCTTTTTTTTTTTGTTCTTTTTATTACCTTTTAAATAAGCATTTTGTTACAATATACAAAATACAAACAAATTATAATAACATATATATATATATATATATATATATATATATATATATATATATATATATATATATATATATATATATATATATATATATATATATATATATATATATATATATATATATATATATATATATATATATATATATATATATATATATATATATATATATAATGATCGTTATTAAATAATAAAAAAACGCGGGGACTCGTAGAAGACCATACGGTCTCGTTGTAGAATACCGCTAAGAAATGTTCGTGTAAAAATTCAAACCGTTAAGAAATGTTCGTGTAAAAATTTATAAGATATTTTCAAGATAAAAAATAGGTAACGAAGTAAGAAACTTAAAATATTCCATTACAAATACAAGAAACAATATTACAATATTACATATTACAGTTATTAATATAATATACATATATAGTTTTTATAAACTCATGTTTAAATAGAAGGTAAAAAAGAAGATCACTAAAAAAAGTTCAAAAATATATTGTTAAATCTTTGATTGCAAAAATGAGCTTTATAAGCTTTCGTTTAAAAGAAAAATAGTTACTTTAATGAATAAAATCCTCAGTAAAATTTTTCAAAACCATTTTATTTCATAAGAATGGTCCGCATTAATCAATACAAAATTTAAAAAGATTTGTTTGAAAAATGGGCTTTTATTCATTAAAAGATAAAATATATTTTTATCTTTTAATGAATAAAAATTATGGAAAAAGAACGGTGATGAATTGGTTTTACATTTAAACATAAAACAAAGAATATTAAAAACATTAAGCTTATATATATTTAAAACTTTTATTTCAAATAATAAAGGCTTGGCATGAGTATAACGGTTTTATACTTATTCCTATAACTTTTGAAATTTTAGTTGATAAGTTTTTAATGTGACTTTTCCATGTAAGATTTTCATGTATGCAAACACCTAGAAAGTTGGTTACTGTTACTTGTTTAATTTGTATACTGTCAATAATAAGATGAGGTATGTTAATTGGCAGTTTATGCTTTTTGATGAGAGGATGAAAAAGAATCCATTTAGTTTTACCAATTTTAAGAGATAATTTGTTGGTCTTAAACCAGTCAGATAATTTGATTGGCACGATATTGACGTAATGAAATAGAGCAAGAATGCTTATGTATGACATAAATAAATTAGTTTCATCAGCAAACATAATTGTTATTAAATCCGAGGCTTTGCAAAGATCATTTATATAAATAAGGAACAAAAGAGGTCCTTATATGGATCCTTGAGGAACTCCACATGTAATATTTAACAAATTTGATGAAAATGTTTCATTGGCGTAAACAAATTGTTTACGATTACTTAAATAACTTTTCAACCATTTTAAAACATTGCCTGTTATTCCATAACACTTTAACTTTTTATCAAGAATTTTATGATCATTTGTATCAAAAGTTTTTGCTAAAATCAATAAATGAGTCTGATGTACTTCTTGTAAGCTGAATAATTGCATGCTCTGTTGAGTTATTTTTTTAAAATCCATATTGCATGTTATATAATAATTTGTTTGATAAAAAGTGATTGTATATTCTGTTGTACAAAATTCTTTCTTAAATTTTAATAAAAACACAGAAGATAGAAATTGGACGTTAGTGTTTTATATTAGTTTTTCCTCTTTCTTTAAGTATTGTAAAAAATTTTACTATTTTTAAATCATCAGGAAAAACTCCCTGATTAAAAGAGCATTTAAAAATTTGGAAAAGTATGTCTTTTAAAATGTCGAAACAATTTGTAATAACAATCCCATTGACATCATCTGGAACAACTGCTTTATTTGACTTTAACAATTTAAAAGCACTTTCAAACTCTTTAAAAGACAATTCAAAAAAGTTTTGATACGAGTTTAGAGGGTCATATGTTACCTTTATTAATTTTCTAGGGTTCGGAATTTTTTCGGCTAGGTTTGTTCCTACAGAAACAAAACATTTATTAAATTCGGAAGCAATTGTTTTTTGATCCAGAAAAAAATTATCATCTACTTTAATAACTGAGGGCAAAGATTGCGATATTTTTTTGGTGTTACCAGTAATTTTGTTTATTAGTTGCCAAGTGCGTTTTGAGTTAAATTTGTATTTTTCAAGTAAATTAGTGTAGAATACTACACTAGTTTACTTGAAAGATACAAATTTAAATCAAAAACATTATACTATATAGTGTAATTTTTTCGAATTTTTCCTTCGGCATTCAAATAGTCTTACGTAGTTTTTTATATATGGTCTTACTCTCAGTTGTTTTTGATTTTAAATATTTAACATGAAGTTTTTGTTTAGTTTTAGAAGATTTTAGAATACCCTAATAGGCTGTTCACACGAGGGTACATTTAATGGAACATTCCGTGGAACATGAAACATGAACAAATATCCTCTCGTGTGAACGCAAATGGAACAAAAAATCAAGGAACATTTGAAGAACTTTTGTACCGTCCCGCCAACCCAGAACAAATAAATGTTCCGGAACATTTTCTTGGTTTTGTATAAAAAATGGTGCCTATTTTCAACTATTTTTAAAATAAGCGTATGCATATAAGCTAAAAGATTCAATAAAAATGCATTGCAAGATGCAAATTTGTTGTGAAAGTAACTCAAACTATTTTTTTTACAAAGTTGTTGTCATCTTAACCAGAGTTTTTAGTCCTTGATCTCTGCATGTCCTTGGTCTTGGTCATATATCAAGACAAGATTATCGATATACTATTTGCCTTTCAACATGTTGCCTTTCAACATTTTGCCTTCCATCTTTTTTATTGAGTTCAAAACATTTCTTCGAATATAATTTCATATCTTTATTCATTGAGTAAAAACTTGTGGTAATTTCATACAACCAAGAAAATTCCGATCCCACTCGTGTGGGATCAATCATGAGTAGACCAGATGGTGGGCATTTATTTAAAAAACAATTATTTGACCATCACAAATTTCACAAAGTTATTTTTAACGATATTTAAAATTTGTATAAATAGAATAGAAATTTAACTATTAGTGTATTATTAATTTAAAAAGAAGTTATATATGTGTGTTTAAAAACTTAATCTTAAAATATAACATTACAAAGACAGTATTATTCTTATAAGATCAGTTTTAATTTGAATTGACAAGAAGTATAATTCAAGTTAACATTTAACTTGCGTTAAGAATATTTTATTTTCATTGTTTAATAGTTTTTATTTAATTATATACTTTGCAAGCATTGCTGTTAATGCATTTTTAATAAACTTATAGTAATTTTATTTATAAAATTCAACTTTGAACTAATAAGCAGAGTTGTTTATCATTGGCCTTGCCAGCAGTGATAATAATAATAATAATAATAATAATAATAATAATAATAATAATAATTATTATTATTGTTATTATTATAATAATTATAATAATAGAATAATAATAGTAATAACAATGATAACAATAACAACAATAACAATTATTAATATTATTATCATTATTATCATCATTGTTATTATTATTTATGTTAATATTATTAATGATATTATTATTGGTATATATTGTTATATATGAGCTTTGTCATATATTTTATTTATATGTCATATATATGTTATTGTATTAGCTTTGTCTTATCTTGTTATTTTAATTTGTGAACATTATCATTAGTATTTTCCTCATAAATAATCTGTATTTACTTAATATTAGTTAATTTACTGTTTGTGAATAATTGTGAAAGTAAGACCTTTATTCAGAATATATATTATTGATTGACTGTATTGATATGACTGTACCTTATATCTTTGCCACAATGTACTACAATTATTGACATTTAAAAATAAAAATAAACAATAGTGTTGAAAGATCGATGTTATTAAATAACATAATTATCACATTGCATGGAAAAGTAAAAAAAAGTAAAAGTAGCATCTGAAAGTTTCTGTTCTCTTGGCTACCAGTTTTTGGCAATTAATTAAACTATTTAGTAAGCCCATAACATTATTAAGTTATTTTAAGCCCATAACATTTATAGCAATTATGAAGTTTAACCTTTAATTTTATTATTAACTATTTCTCTTCTTTTTGTTGTTGTTATTGTTGCAAGATTCAATGTACTTATCCTTTTTAGTAGGTAAAACTTTAATTTTACACAATGTCTCAGCATTCAGAAAAATAGTGTATTGACGCTAGCACAACAAATATTGGTCTTTGCACATCTCCTTTAAATAAATTTTTATAGAATATGGCTAACACAAGAGTATTATTAGATTTATGGAAAGATAATTACAAAGCATTAACATTTGTAAGAAGAAACACAAATATTTACTAACAAATGGCAGCTGAATTTTCAAACACATTTAATATCGTACCTCCGTTAACTGGTTATCAAATTCAATCTAAAATTAGTAATTTGAGGAAGCAATTTAGGTATGTACATATTCTACATTTAATGTTTGATACCTTATTGATACCTTACTTGATACCTTACTGATACCTTACTGATACCTTACTTGATACCTTACTGATACCTTACTTGATACCTTACTGATACCTTACTTGATACCTTACTGACACCTTACTTGATACCTTACTGACACCTTACTTGATACCTTACTAAGTATTTTACAAAACTAACCATGTGTAATAATATCTAATTGCAATTTAGTTTGTAACTGAGTGTTATATTAAAAATTACTTAAATCTTATTCAGTATTGAAGATTTACAGCTTGTTGATAATTATTTTGTTAATAATTTGTTATTTTATTATTCGTTAATAATTCGTTAATTTTGTTAATAATTATTTCGTTAATAATAATTTGTCCATTAAAGTTATTTGATTGATCTTATACGGTGTTAATGATGTGCTTATATTTACTTATATTTATGTATATTTTTCATAGACGAGAAAAACTTCAAGTTGGTTCATCGGGAGGAGCTCCTAGTAAATGGTGGTTTTACAATATTGTTGCCAAAATAATAGGTGGTGAAGCTTCCCTTGACAATGATCTTTTATCTCAAAGTCAAAACTTTTCTACTCAAGATTTTCAAGATGGTCAGGTAAGTTTAGTATAATTTATTGTTGTATATTTTAAAGTGCTATATATTTTTTAAAGTAATATAAACAAGCATGTTAACTATTTCTACAAAATAAAGTTTAAGAGGCTCTTAGTTTTGCAACATTTGGCAGACTTAAAACATAAAGATCAAAAACATATAATATAAAGTTTTTGAATTATAAAAGGAATCTTTTAATATTGGCTAGATCAATTTGTAAAATGCTATTGTCTAAATAGATCCTTTTTGAAAGTCAAGTCTTTCAAAGTCAAGAGATAAATTTTGATTGAAACATGATTTATAATCATTTCTCAAATGTGTAATTTTTTTAATTTGTATATTTTATTTACAGATTGCCACAATGGAAGATGGCAAGGAGACTGTCAGTATTTTAAATATTGAAGCTTTGGATGATACAAGTGATGTGCAATCAATTGTCACTATTCCTGATGAGGAACTGACTCAATCTACATCCAGCTGCAATAAACGAAGGAACTCTGATGATAAAAAAACTTTGAATAAAATAGCAAAAACTGAACCGGTGAGAAAAAATAAAAAAACAAATTTTACTTCTGAATACTTAAAAATAGCAAATAAAAGTCTAGATGTTCAAATCCGTTCACAAGAGCTACGAATCAGAGAGGTTGTTGCTTTAGAGCGTATTTGCGATGCAATTGAAAATGCATCTAAAGCCCAAGTAGATGTGTCTAAAGCCCAAGTAGAACATTATAAACTTTTAACAAAAAAATAAGGTGTTCTATTAGTCAAAATATCTTTTTAGTAATTATGTTAAAGTTGAAAGGTCAGCATTTTTTCAACAGTATACCTTGTTTACAATTCTATGCAATATATATTTCATAAAGTTTTTCAATGTTTTAACTAAAGAGATGGTTAGTGAAATATTGTACAAGCTTGTAGATGAAGCTCTATTTATATATATTTTTTCATGTTACCTTATTACTATTATCAAAGGAATTTTTACTTTATGTAAAATAAAAATATTTTGTGATTTCAAGCATCAAAATGCATATCTGGTGGTATTTTCTAAATTTGTCATGTTATTTTATAAATACCTTTTTTTGTATCTCTATGCTATAAATATTTAGTATTTTTACCAAATAATTTTTTTTGCGATATGAAGCAGGCCTGTAGATGAATTATAGTGATATGTTTTTTGCCGACGTGTTTTGTTTTTAATTTATACAAATTGCATTACATGTTTCATTTTTGTTTTTGTTAACAGATCATGCTGTATCAATTCTAACAAAATGATTTTTAAAAATGTGTTTTAATTTCCCTTGAATTGTAATATAATAAGTATTATATTTATTTAATATATTTATATAGTTTTAATAGCTTTTTAGGGAGACATCTGTAAAGGAAAAAGCTATTGGAAAAACATATAAGGCGTTTTGGCCGTACTTCGATCAAGAAGTAGAACATTAATCAATGATGAATCAATCACCCATACATTTTTATATTTAGATTTAGCTTTCTTTAAGTTAAATCAACAAGGGTATCTAATTGAAAGAAAAGTTTGGGTTAGGCCGAAAAGTTCTCAATGGTTTAATGAGATTTTTACTCAAATGGAGGAATGTGAATTTAAAGAGCATTTTCGAGTAAATCGTAACACATTTTATTTCCTAGTTAATGAATTGCATCCACATTTAGGCAAAACTACCACAACTACGCGAGAACCTATTTCAGTAGTAAAACGTGTTGCAGTTGCATTACATTATCTAGCTTCATGTATAGAGTATCGTGTTGTGTCTAGCCTTTTTGACATAGGAAAGTCAACAGCAAATTTAATTGTTCATGAATTTATTAATGCTGTTAATGACATTTTGCTACCTAAATATGTTAAATTTCCATTGTCAGTGGAAAATTTAAATAAACATAGTAGAGATTTCGAAGCTATTCTTGGTTTTCCACAATGCGTTGGAGCTGTTGATGGATGCCACATCCCTATTTTAGCCCCTAAAGATCAAGCAATTTCTTATTATAATTATAAAGGATGGTATTCCATTGTACTTTTTTCCGTTGTAGATTGTCAATACGGTTTCATTTATACAAGTGTTGGATCGCCTGGTAGAAATAATGACAGCTGTATTTTGCAGAATTCTTCTTTGAAAGCAATTTTATAATCAAGTTTATTTGATAAATGTTGTAAAGAGCTGGGCGATTCTCTTGTTCCACTATGTTTGATAGGTGATTCAGCATATCCTTTAACGCGTCATTTGTTAAAACCTTATCCTGAAAATTTGGAGCTTAGTGAAATTCAAAAAAATTTCAATAAAATACTTTGCGGAGCCAGAAGAGTAGTTGAGAATGCTTTTGGGCGCGTTAAAGCTCGATTCCGTGTAATTTGCAAACGTATGGAATGCGATATTAACTTTGCTACAAGAATTGTTAATGCTTGCGTCTCTCTTCACAACATTTGTGAATATTATGACGATATTATTATAATAGAATGGCTTATGTATCATCATGATGACAGTCTAGCTCAACCCAATACAGTTTCTACAACTGGGAACAATGGACCAGGAAAAAATGTTCGTGACTCAATTGCTAAATACCTTTATAAAAGGGACAAGTAAAGTAGTAATAATATTATTCATTATTTAAAGCTTTAGCTGTAATATGGTTATGTATTTACTTACTTTCCTTGAGGTTATCAAATGTGCCTAAATAAATAAATATTAAATATGTATGAACACAAAATGAGATTAGTTTTAACTGGTCATGGGTAACATATTAATGTATAATATGTTTATTCGGTACTATACCACTGATGGACTACTATTCTGTGTCGTCAAAAGCGACTAAAGGAGATATGACCTATCCATAAAAGCCAAAAAACGGGATAACAAAATTCCAACGTCACCTTTTGTATGGCGGGTATTTTGGGTTGGGTTTTTATTGTCTAACTCTGAGCTAGCTAAACCCTCAGTGTTATTTGTATTTAGTTTTACCTCTAATAAATGTTTAAATATTAAAAATTAATAAATTATATTAACAATGTGTATTTGCCAAACTGTTTGTCACTAATTTTTATTCGAGTTTTACCTACCGTTTTTTTACTCGTTTTTTCTTTTATGTACCGTCAAGCCAATTTTACATGTGAACGCTACAAGTAACATTTTGTGGAACATTTTGTTCCAGGAACATTTGTTCCAGAATAATGTTCCGCCGAACATCGCTAGTGTGAACATGGTATAAGTGTCCATCCATGGCGATTTAATTTTTTTATGTTTGTAATTTGTTTCCACTTTGGGAAAATTAATGTCATAAATTTCATAAAAAATTAAAAAAAAGATTTCTATATTAAATTAATGTCTCCAGAAAAGTTAATGATGTTCCAATTCACTAAAGAAAGTTGATATTTAAAAGATTCTAGGTTTTTATTATGAAAAATTTGTTTTTTAAATGATTTTTTTCGTTATATAAAATTTTCTCATAAATATCTATTGAAAAGAAAATAGGGAAATGATCAGATATATCACTTTAATAATGCCTTTTTTAGGCGAATAATTAAAAATATTGTTGGTTATAATGTTATCAATTAAGGAAGTTGTTGTTTGAGTAAATCTAGTTGGTTTGTTTATTAGATGAACTGCTCCATTTTCAAATAGGCCATCATAAAACCCATTAATCTCTTTTTTGACGTGATACTCAAAACAATTTAAATTCAGATCACCTAATATGTAAAGTAATTTTTTTTCGTGCTTGATTTTATTTTTAACATCACTGTGCAAAAATGTACTACATGTTTTAATTTTGTTAGTAGGTAAGCGATAACAACAACTAATCACAATGTTTTTAGCTTTATTAATCGGCGATAAGACAGTCATTGTCTTCTTCTTGCTCCGGCCAATTTTTATAAATGTAATATGTCTATATTGTAAATATATGAAACGGCAAAAAAAAAAAAAAAAAAAAAAAAAAAAAAAAAAAATCAATATTTCTATCGTTAAAACCTCTTTATTGACATCATAAATACTCATGTCATGCCTAATATAATACCGTTGGTTTTCTCTATATAATAACTTTAAAATACCGGGAACTAATTAGAACTACATCAAGTTTCAGTTAGGCATATTACACTAAAAATAGTTAGATTTTCCTCAAAACTATTGCAAAGATTTTCAAAATGTTTTGGTAAACTTCTTATATTTATATGAATTGCATTAAATTTATCACACTCAAGAAATTCTTTTACTTACATATGTAAATTCTTATATTTATATTTGTAAACAAGTTGGGCAGCTCAAAACATTTATACTATCAGATAAAAGTGAACAGTCAATTATTCTGTGAACAGTCATACCTTTGTTTTTGAAATGAGAATTCCTTTCAGGTGGTGAGTGGAAAAGACCTTTAACTTTGTGATAAGAAGAACTCGATGTATTGGAGATCGTCGGTTTTATTATAAACAAAGGCTACATTATTAACACTTAAAGAGGCAAGATTTACAATATTTACAACTTAACTGCCGCAAGGCACCTTTACATTAAAAATCTTTTTTCTTTTTACTGCTCGTTTTGTTTTGACTTTCTACTTTTACAATGATTAAAACTAAAAAAAAACTTTTGGCAGAGAATTTTGAGCTAAAAATGATTTAAAAGCGGTCTATTTCATTATATAGTTTTTAAATCTAACAAGAAGCCATAAAACTTTTTAACTGTAAACTTTATTTAAATTTTTTTGCAACAGTCGTAATTTATCAAGATGTGCTACTTATTAGGAGTAGATTGACTTTTTAAAATTGATATTTTTACTACTTAAAAAAAAAATAAAAAAAAATCACTAGTTAAATAAATTTTTAGATAAAGCCACTATGATTTTTGAAATCCCCATACATTAAAATACATAAAGCAGTTTAAGAATCGTTTTTGATTTTTTGAAAATTTTTGGGGAATATATCACTAAATGCAGTACCTTACCTGTGGGAAATGAGCTAGCGACTAGCGAGCGACTAGCTAGCTATATAGCAATTTTCTAGCGATTTTTTTTCCTATTTTATTATTTCCTAATGTCTTTAATATCTTTAAAAATTCGATTTTTAGTTTTGAGTCTATTATAATTGTGAGGATAATCGAACTTTAAACATTGCGATTTTGTAGCAATGTGACGCTAGCTACATATCGTAGCTATGTAGCTAGCTACAAAATATCTACAAATCTATAGCTGGTTGATCGGTACATATCAAATTTTTTTTTACAACGACTTTTTTACGATATGACACTAGCTACAATAGCCAGTGGGTCTTAAGCTTATTAAGCTGGCTGTCCTCTTAACCAAATGTCTGTCTTTATCTTTACAAATATCGATAGCTTTTGGCTAACTTAAAAAAGCTAGCGATCCTCGTGGCCAAATCGCTGTCTTTATCGTTACGATTATAGCTAGCTATTCGTTATCCGATTTCCCACCAAGTAGGTATCACAATAATTCCTTTAAGTCAATTACTATTTTTTATTAATTTTTTTTTTATCCCGGTTTGCTATTGCCCATCATTATTTCAATTCAGAATTAAATTGCGATAAATTATGATTTTTATTTGTTCGTCTGAGTAATTATTTTTTGCAAATACGCAATGTTTTAAAATTTTTAATTTTTTCTTTATGTTTATCGTTATTTGGCTCTGCATTAGATTCAAAAACATTTTTCGGTTCGTTTCTCTGACATCTGACGAATCAAAGATAAACTCCATTTAAAATCAAAAAATACCTTAACATAAAGTTTAGGTTTTATTTTAATTAACTAAAAAAATATTTTATAATTTAGCGATAATTGTAAATTTTCAACAAAGCATAGGAAAATGAAAAAAAAACAAAAAAACAATAACGCATTATTATTATTTATTACAGACAACAACACCCCTTGGCCTTTTCCTTGTACGCTTAAAAGTATAAAATTACAAAAAAATAGAAAGCAAATACAAAGCGAAAACGAGCAAAAGTGGCAAATGATTTTTACGCATCATTGAAGTCAAAACCTTAGCCTATCTGTTAATTTAAAAAAAATACCTGAAAATTCTTAAAAGTATTGTAATAACTTATAGCTTGTAGAGAAAAGGCAAAAAGCAAAAAAGCAAAAAAAAAGAGTATTATACTTATTATAAAAAACCCACTTTTTTATAATAAGTATAATAATTAATAAAATGTAAAAATAAATATACTAGATAAAACTTTTTAAATATAATCATCTTTCTAACTTCATTAGAACTTATCATTAATAAAATAAAAATATATTTTAATTAAACTATAATTTTTTCTGATAATTGCTTAAAAAAAGAGCGACCGAAATAAAACTCATAAACAATAGTAGTTTGATCAACTTTGTATGTATGTAGGATACTTACTATTCTTTAACCTTTTTACGGTTACGTTTTCAATATTCAACTAGCTGCCACAACCCGTACAATGCGGTTCGTGGTATTTCGTTTCCACACCCGACTATTTCTAATCATGTTCTTTACAATTAAAATACTATACTTTGTACACATTTACTTCAATATTTTTTACATAAAAAAAAATACCTTATCATATAAGACAGTTGCGTAACATTTATTTAGGTGTTTTTGGAAACTTAGACTATAGTAATATTTTACCCTGTCATTTAAATTTATTTAAAAAGCAAATTTGGACATTAAAAATTAATGCAAATGTAAACTTCTAGTACAGAAGGTGATAGAAACATAAATGGTTTTTATTCATATATAAAAAAAATGGAAATATAAAAAACAAAGTAAAAATTGCCAAAATATACATTCAAAACAATAATTCCAAAGATAAAAAATATAAAAATTGCTTAAGAAAAAAAAAAAAATTTTTTTTCTTGAGATGATATAAAAATATAAACATTTCAAAAAATATTACACTCAACATAAAATAGAATTAAAAATACTAATGAAACATTGTTTCATTATTTTATAGCTTTTAGTAAATGGTATGAAGATTGTCACACTTAGTTTTAGTTTTTTGAATACAATCAACATTCAGAACATTTCTTAAATCCTGCTATGTAGGAACATTTCGAAAACTAGTCATAAGAGAAGGAATTCGAGTCAAAAATGAAACAAAATTATTTATTTAATACACATAATACACATTAATTAGTTATGTATTATTTCTTTCTTTGAAAACTTAAAAGTTTGACTAAACAGATAAGAAACTTACTTTGTGAGGCTATATTTCTTCTGCGAAAGTTTCAAGATTTATACTGCAAGTTTAGATTAACAACTCCTTTTTAAAAAAGCAAGACTAAATAAAAATAAAAAATAAAAATTAGCATTAACTCATTTATACAACCATCATTACCAGATTGCTCCATTCTAAATGACATTACTGAATTAGGATCATGTATATTTAATTGACAATATGTGTGTAGAAAAAATTCTTCTGGCCTAAATTTCTAACCTGATGCAAAGTTTGCCCATAGACCCTAAAACAGAAAGGGCCATTATTTGAGGGAGAGACTATTTTGGCTTTGAAGCCAGCAAAACGTAAAAGGGAACTCCTTAGGTGTTTAAAAAATTTTGATTGACAATATGATCAACATGGTTTCTTGTCATTAAATTAATCAAAAATGGTAAATA